GGGCTGGAAACCAAGCCTTAATGAGGAAAGGCTGAAAGAATTGGGCATGCTTAGTCTCGAGAAAATAAGACTGACCAGTGATATGATAGCACTTTTCAAAGATTTGAAAGGCTGTCCTACAGAGGAGGGGCAGGATCTGTTCTCCATCATCCTAGAATGCAGGACACGCAACAATGGGCTCAAGTTAAAGGAAGCCAGATTTCGGTTGAATGTCAGGGGAAACGTCCTAACTGTTAAAAGCAGTATGACAGTGGAACCAATGACCTCGGGAGTTGGGGAGCCCTCCAACCCTGGAGGTTTCAAGAAAAACTTAGATCATCACCTGGCAGAGATGCTTTGATGGTATTCCTGCATTGAGCAGAGGGTTGGACTTGATGGCCTTGTAGGCCCCTTCCAACTTCACTTTTCTATGATTCTATGACAAGGGCAGAAGGCAGAAGATTCCCCACCAGTGTGGAAAAAGTTGTCACTCATGTCCCTATATAGCCACAGAAGCTCCTCATGCTATTCAAGGAGCCTTGTTCTAGCAGAAAGTACAGTATTTGGTATAAATCAGTAACGTGGATTCTGCTAGTGGCGTGGAAGAGACTCTGTCCTGGCCTAGAGGAGAATTGTGTTCCGTTTCAGAGGCAGAAAACACAAAGAGAACAGCAGTTCAAGCCCCATGTGTGCGTGACAGAGGTCTCCCTCCTCCACCCTGCCACCAGATTTTTTTTAATTCCACTCCACAGCTTCCCTTTGCCTGTTTTTTTTTTTTCCCTGAATCTGCAGCTTGTAAGTCCCCAGCTGGCCAAACCCACAGAAGAGGCATTTGCCTCTTTCATCTAGAAAGAGTCCTAGAACAGGAAGGAGCTGGAAGGAGGGAGGCTTTCCTTGCCTCTAGCGGGAGCCCTCCTTCTTCCTGGCCTTTCTGGGAGCCCCATTCTTTTTTTTAATGCCGCCGTTGTGGGCTGGCAGAGTCTGCAGGATTTAGCTGGCCTGCAGCCACATTGGCTGATCCCTCAAGCCCCTTTTGCTGCTAATAACTCATGTTTACTCATGGTTGAGCTTGCTCATCCTAAAGCCAGAGAGAGCTCTTGCCTTTTTAACTTTGAATGGTTTGCTCAGGAAGGATCCGTGGCTTCACTGCCACATAACCCTGAACTTCTCCACCCCAGCAAAGAATCCCAGAGTTCCCATCTTTGGCTCCTGGAGGCCAAAGCTCATGCGCTGCTCTCTCGTTCTGTCAATGGCAATTACTCATGCTTGCTCATCGAGGCTGGGGGGGGGCTTGTGCATCGGGGTGTGTGCGCATGCATGCTCAGAAGGGAAGGCAGAATACATACGTCCATATTCCACTTGGATGATTCGCACACTCTTGGTGGAGGCAAAGACATCAACCACGGCGTAGAGGGGGCGAGAGGCAGGAAGGCCCTTGGCGCTCGGGCCCATGTCCTCCCCATTGATGACAATGTGCATGTCAGCTGTCCCGTCTGGCTGCAGCGCATACAGCACCCCAATCCGGCTTTTCCGGGCCGTGGCCGGGAGCACGTTTGTCTTGTACAGGTCGTCCAGGAGGTGGCTGTACCGACCCGGCCTGCTCCGGCCCACCAGCTTGTCCCGGGGAATCTTGACTTGTTCGATGCGCAGATAGGGCTCGGAGAGGAAGCCGCGCGTGTCGGCGGCCGCCCGGTCCCCTGCTGTGACTCGGTTGTGGTTGCGGGTAATGGCGAACACCCAGCTCTCTCCCAGGTTGACCAGGTCTGGCAGAGAGTACTCGGGCACCACGTCCAGGCTGCCAGGCTCGTGGGCCGTCAGCCCGACCCTGAGGTGGCCGCACCACCCCAGCTCCTTCTCCTCAATCTCCACCAGGAAGACCTGCCCAGGCGCCAGCGGCTCGTGGCTAAAGCACAGCCCGTTGGCAAAGCTGTCCACCCTGGTCGCCTGGGTGCCAGCGGGGTCCAGGCGGACGTTAGCCCCATGGATGCGATGGAACCGAGTGGGGGGATGGCACACCCCAGCCATCGCTCTCTCTCTCTCTCTGTGTGTGTGTGTGTGTGTGTGTCTCAGTCTCACATGTAGCAGGAGGAGGGAGGAGGAGGCTATTTTTAAGCAGGGCTCTGAGTCAGGGCAGCTGCTGCTGCTGCCCCTTGCCAGGGCCCAGAGGTCTCCAAATAGGGGCTGTTGGGCAGCTTGGGGGTGAGCGCCAGGTCCTAGTGCCCTCCAGCTCCCACCGAGGAGGGCGCTAGGGCTTGTCTGGACAGGACACAAAGCCACGTCTGGGTCTGGCTCTTCCAACTGCTTTATTTATTTATTTATTTATTTTGGGGGTGAGGGTCCTAGTGCCCTCCAGCTCCCACCGAGGAGGGCGCTAGGGCTTGTCTGGACAGGACACAAAGCCACGTCTGGGTCTGGCTCTTCCAACTGCTTTATTTATTTATTTATTTTATTTATCTGCCTTTATGGATGTAATAATTGAGATGTTTACTAATGCATGTGCCTGAGCAGGGAAAGGAGGCGGCTGAGATTTCATGAGCCCGAGTTTACTTACAGCATACAAAACTTGAAAAATTGAGTGTAGCTGTTTCATTAAAGTTGCCAGATTTTGGAAGGCCAAAATTTAATTGTACTTTGCACAATATACTTTTTGTTTCATTACGGACTTTCACAAATTGTGGAGAAAAGGCAGTATCGTGCATGTGAGACACTGTGGCTGTACTGTTTTACTGGATCAAGAAAGAAGGCAGCTTTTAACTCGTAATTATATTTGACACTCAGTTAAAGAACTGGTGATTGGCATATATCATTTTTTTGCACAAACCTTCAGTCATAAAAACAGAAATCTGTTAAGTAAAATGAAGTCTACATCAGTATTTTAAATAATTAGCTATCTTTCATATAACTCAGTCAGACATGAAATACAGTATAGGCATAGCTAAGGTTGGATTCATCACAAAAAAATGAACTCCAGGCTTGTTTATTAATAAACATCCATTTGTTAGATCAGCCTGTCTCCAATCCTTAACTCATTCAAACTTATTTCTGATTTAATATGCAGAGGGTTATTCTACATAAAACGTATACATATCTAGCTTGTGCCAAGATTCGCTAAAATAATTCTTTATATTGACAGCCATATCTGTTCTACTTTTTCAATGGCTGTTTCAAAATAACACTGAGATTCTATCTTGGAACTTGTTGTTAATGATGTTACTTTCTCTTTTCAGTCCTCAAACTGCTGTACTCCAAGGTTAATGTTGGTATACAGGTATTTAGTAGCAATAGTCTTATCAAGCGTGAAAGGATCTATTTGTATGCCTCTCGTATGATATGTGTATAGTGGGTGCAAGTCTTCCAAATACACACACACACAGAGAGAGACACACACCCTGATCCTTTGATTTTTTTTTTTGTAAGTGTTTAAAGTTTAGCTTAGAATTCTGAACACCTGGTGCAGCATCGCCATTTCAATGCAGGACTTCAAAAAAAAAAACAACAACCCAAGTCCTAAAGGTGACACAACAAAGAGATACTGCTTCCCTTTATAAATAAGCTCACCGTCCAAAGATGGAAGAGCCTTAATTTGACTGAACTGGAGGCTTTTGCCCATGAAGAATGGGCGAAGATACCCGTAGATCGCTGCAAGACACTTGTGTCAAGCTATGCTTCACGTTTAAAAGCTGTTATAACTGTAAAAGGCTGTTGTACTAAGTACTAAGATTGAATATCACTTGGTGGTTGAATAAAAACTAATAATGATGTGAGCACAGAAAAGACATTTGTGGTTATTTCATTATAAACTTAAGGTTATATTTCTCTGACCTACAAGTGCCTCTTTCATGTAAATGTAAGCAAGATGACTGAATGATCAAAATCAATGTCAAAATGGCCAAAACATTCAATTTCAGTGGGGGCTGAATAATTTTGAACACAACTGTATGCATCCCTGTATACAAAATTTGCTGTAGAACAAGATGAATAGAGAATTGGGGATAGTCACTGAAGAGCCCTTCTTGGCAGCGACACTTGCAGGGGCCAATGGCCATTCGTAACATCACCCAAAAGGTTGCCACATGTCTGATAGAGGCAGGCGCTTGCCCGGCTTTTCTTGCCAGTTCTGACTTCCCTGCCCCCTGGTTCTCGCTCCCCCGGACCAAAGAGGGACAGCCCTAGTCCCAGTCCTTCTGCCCCCCCCCACTTCCCTACCTTCTGTTGTGGGCACTTTTTGGGCAGAGGCTCGGCCAGGACTTGAAGCCAGCAAGGAGGGTGGTTGGTCCCTTTGTTGTCTCCATGGAGTGGGTTGCCTCTTGGGGATGCGCCAAATGCTTCCTAAGCAATCCATTTCCTTCCTTCCATCCATCCATCCATCTATCCATCAGCTCCTTCCTTCCTTCCTTCCTTCCTTCCTTCCATCCATCCATCCATCCATCCATCCATCCATCCATCCATCCATCCATCCATCATCAGCTCCTTCCTTCCTTGAGGCCAAATGAACACACGGTGAACCATGAGAGCCGTCCACTCATGGCTGGGGATCCTGATTTTTAAGTGTTATGACTACTAGATTAATTGGTCTCCTCTTGCAAAATGTCTAAGGCTACCCTGATAAGTGGTAGATTCTGTATTGCTTGCCAGACCGGAATCCTCCTGCCACTGCCCCAGTTGCTAACTTTGCCCTTCCTGTCCTACCAAGAAGGGTTGACTTACTGGAAGGTGCTTAACCACTTAGACCTACTATGTCCAGTATTCGCGAAGGCTTTCATGACCGCAGCAACCAACGTTGTCATTGCTTTTTAAAACCTTCTGTGTTCTTTGTGCGCAAGTTGGCCGACATGTATCTGAACAGGTTGTACGACAGCAATAAACGTGTAATGATCATATGTACTATTATTACTGAGCGCCACCCCCTTGTTTATGACTTCTTATGACAGCTCTGGCTCATTCTCAGATCTGGGCTCCCGCGAGGGTGATTCAGGATCCCCTTTTCTGAGCCAGGGCCACCTGAAGCTGGGAGAGAGGGAGAAACATGCCCAGAGACAGCCAA